ACAACAGATTTTACTTATTAGAAATTGCTTTCTATTGCCTCATAAAGGAAGAGGGTGGGTTTAACTTTGTTTCTACGACAATCAGTGAAGATCAGTCCAGACCCTGAAAGCCACAATGAAGGAAGCATCTGTCATAGTTCTGCTCGGTAAGTACACTCTTTCAAATGTACAGTTGGTGTTTTTACTGTGTTAGAAAAGCTGTGAAACAAACTGCAGGAAGGTTAAATATGCAACAAGTGTATAGCAGGTCTGAGCAGGAACTGATAGAGTTCCCAGAAATGCAAAAACTAAAGCAGCAGAAGAAAATCTTATTACAGTTTATTAAGACTTACTACAGTTTGTAGGAACTTTTTCTGCCTGATTTGTTGCTAAACTCAATACGTTTGCAGAAATGTTGCGTAATTCTGTAAACACTGGCCTTTATGTGAAACAGAGGTGTGACTGAAGGGGCATTTGAAACTTGCTGATGTGCAAGGTGCTAAAATAGCTTTCCTGTCTTCAGCATCCTTTTAGGCGAAGAATGTAAAACAAACAAAAAAAGCCCCACATAGCAGATTTACTGCAGCCTGTGGCGACGATTGAACCAATATTACCAGAAACTAAGGTCAGACACGTACGAACAGTTTTGTTAACTTTGTTGACTTTAGGGAACTGTTAAAATGTTTAAGGCTCATTTAAACTTTGACAGAGAGACAGACGAACGGAGGAGGAAACATCCTGTCACATCTGCTTTGTTATAGCTTTAGTTTTTTGCTCTGCATCCATAAAGAAACTTCTGTAATTTTATTTTACACATTATTCTTTATGGATAGGCAAATATAATCAAAGCTTATTCACTGATCTGCATTCTCATTTATAAGTACAACAGTAATGCCTGGATATTTTCTCCATATGACTGTCTTCATTCCGACCCACGTTCCCTGTCCCTCAGATCCGCTAAACAGGTTTATTTGGTTACTAGATATTGCAGGAAGCTCAGAGGATTCTCCTAAACTGTAGAACAACCCTACTGACTATAAAGCCTGCCTCACTGCCTGCTTTAAAACATATTTTAACCTGCTAGCTCTCTACATCAATGAGCTCACACTATGACCTCATTTATTCTTCTTCTGATGCATTTCCTCTGTTATTTTCACATAAAGTTTGTATGGTGTGACTCATTTTCTTTCTGTCAAAGGACATTAAAAATAGAATTTATATATAGATAATAGAAAAAAGAGAATTTATAGATATATAGATATAGATACAATACATATATATGATAAACGTCTTCATAATGGGACCAAAAAAATCCAGTTAAATGGACTGATAACAGTTCCAGATACGATTCAGCAACAACTGCTGGACTCATGGGGCTAAAAGCAAACCACCACACAGGTTGGAAACATGGAGGTAAACAGAAGGACAAAGAAAACTTTAGAATTAGATATATTTGATTTATTATTTATTATTGATTGATTGATTGATTGATTGATTGATTGATTGATTGATTCATTCATTCATTCATTCATTCATTCATTTATTCATTCATTAACTTTTTTGATCTCAAAGTGTAGAAATTTGTCATTACATCAGCTCAAATAGTTAAAGGAGAATAATGTGCCAAAGGAAGAAAAAGGTGCATGGGATATACAGTATGTACAGTGCGTCCAGCTATGACAGCACTTTTTTTATTATGGTAGGATTATTACAGCATTTATTACAGTTTTTTTTTACTAAACAGGCCTTGCAGTTACAAAAGTCTTCATGGGAAAAGAACCAGTCTTAGTAGACTGGCATCCTCCTCTGTGGTCTCAGATTTTCCCTCAACTCTCGTCACCAGGCCTCGCCACTGCGCCGGATCGTCTCTCAACGGCCAAGGCGGAGTTATTTATGTAGCACGTTTCAATGGAAAGACAATCAACGTGCTGTTCATAGAATAGAATAGAATAGAAAAGAATAGACCTAGAATAACCCTAACCCTGCTCCTCTCTGAATGACATTTCGAGCCTGATTGCTGGAATCTAGCTGGTTTAAGTGAAGCTGGGTGCCAACTTTAAAAACTTTCTTTGATCCCAAAGTACTACTCATATTTAGTTTGTGAAGAAAACTAAGACAAAAGGTGGGCCTGACCCCCTCCAACTGGATTGACCATGGAGGTCGCCTGGGGGGCGATCAATGGTAATTAGGCATCATTAGAACGCCTCAGACACAAGCAGAAACTGTCATGATTTTATCTAAGGCTTGGACCCACATGCAGTGAAACCAAACAGAGAGACACGGATGAAAAGTTTGACTGATTTTATTGAAGATGTTAAGCTCGGTGCAGAGTTTCCCTGAACTCAGCTCAGCCGGAACTGGAAGGCAAAGGGAGGACAGACTGTTAGTTCAGGCTCAGTGGGAAATTTGATTCGTTGATCTTGAGGGAGAGGATCGGGTTGTTGACTCAGGTTTCCAGAGAAGTGAAGGATCCTTGACTTCAATCTGTGTGTTGCTTTTCCAGTGTATGTCTGATTCGGTGGAGGGCGGAACAGGGTTTACCCAGACCTCGGACGGAGTGGGTGAACGGAGACGCTGATTGCCACTCAGATTTCCTACTGTACTTAAACGGGTCTTGGTGAAGATGATTCCCTTTGTGGAGTAAAAAAATGAGCACTGAGAGTTGATATGGAAGGAAGAAAATGTTTTATTTTACTCTGCAGAGGAGAATAGCACAAACCAGCTGAATACAGTTGAGTGCGATTCTGAAGCATTCAGAAACACACCCCTACATTTAAAAAGAATCCACAGCATACACACACGCGAACATTGAATCTTCCCAAGAGAAACACTTTAGTTTATCAAAAGACATAAATTTGCTCAGATAAACATTTCAGAAAATTGTATTCCGTTCACACCAGAAACAGAACGATAAGAGCATACGTTTTAACCACAGCATGAAGGAGGCTTTGTGAACTCATTATTTCTAATGACCTTCCCCTCACCCTTATCTAGAGTAGGGAGGGGAGGCACCTGCTTTCTGTCCCCCTAAATAGTATAGCATAGTGAACGGTACAGAATTTCTCTATCCTTACTTCTATTCAAAATAACATTTTATCACACAAAGTAGGCCAAGGAAAAACCTTGATTCCACACCTTGCTCAGAGAGTATTTTCAACATCCTCAAAGGAGACTGGATACAAACCTCCTGTTTGAATCCCTGGCTCAGTTTAGACTCAGTTGATCCCTCCTGGGAGAGGAGGTTCGAAAAGGTCCAGTTTACAGGATGACTTCCTGCCAAGAGGCAAAGGACAAAAAACGAAGTTAAAACTCGGGGAGACAAGAACTCAGTCTTACTCAGAGAAAACTCAGTTTGGCTAGAGAATCAGAAACTGGCAAACACTCTGGGGTCGAGGTAGTGGCAATCAGCAGCTTAAGAGCACTCTGTTAACAAGGTAACCGTCAGCAGGTGTGTGAGGAGGTGGACCAGAACCAGGCGCCTCCTGTTGGTGGAAGGGAGACAAACTCAAAAACAAATACACAGACAGGAGCCCTGACAGAAACTATTCCCACCTCCAAGAGATGGAAGATGAGAGACCAGGGACACATCAGGACAGCCTGAAGATCGGTGGTTTTCTCCGACGGGTTTTTCCAAAAACCAACTATGAGAAGAAGGAACATTATCATTCCATACTGAAGATTCAAGATTTTTTCATTTCACCCAGCCTCGAGTGATACTCCAGTAGGGCAAAATTTCAGGTTTGGTACAGCCCATCCAAGAAATGACAAAACAGACAGACAATATACAGACACAGGGGGATGGGATGTCCGAGGCCTTGCTGCCGTAAAAAGGCACTGCCACTTTATTGGAAGAAAAACACAAAGAAAGGGATCACAATAGGTGAGTGGAGGAAAAAAATACGATTTCATAATCTATGGTTAGCAAGATACAGTTTAAGATTGCAAAACAAAACCTCATCACATAGCAAAAAACAATTGAAGACAAGACAGAGAAGCTAAGCAGGATATACAGGGAGGAAGTTGGAGACAGAAAAAACGTCCTCCTCCTACGAGTGCCAAGAGAGAAAATATGTTGCTGGCTCTCAGGAGGATTTTCAACTAGAACTGGATCCCTGTACACTTCACACCAGAAACACCCTGAGACAAAATCAGGTTCACCCCAAAGACAAGAAACCCAGAACCAAGACCCACAGAATGCTTTACGCCATTCAGCAAGCAAAACAGGTGCATGGCTCAACACGAGAGGGCCAACCCCTCAGGAGAGGAGTCAGCTGTTCACCTACACCTGAAGTCTAAAGTACATCGAGGACAACAACGTCCATATTCTGGCCAAGGAAGACAGATGGTTTGAAAGAGGGGTTAAGAAAGCCATTTTCATTACCCTGGAAAAAAAAAAAACATCTCTCACGGTCGAGTTGGTCTTAGATAAACCCTTTCACTTACTTACAAAGCGTTTTTAGGAACCATACCCAGAAGATTCACCTCCCACCCGCCCTCACCTGTCTCAAACATGAGGCATTGAAAACCACTCTAACGAGAGAGTTAACGACCCATTAGAAGGGGCCAGTATATTAATCTCACTGCTCCCCACCACTAGTTAGAAGAGTAGAAGTCTCTAGGATGAGAGGAGAAACGTCTTCTAGAAATCATGTCCAGTTGCCTAAACTGAACTTTGTCAAGCCATAGCATCAGCGTTAGTATTTTTACTTCTGCCATTGTCTTTTGCCATTAGTGGAAAACAACAGGTTAGTTGAGGTGGCGTCTGCTACTCAACACAAAATAACACGCAAAACTGAAAACAATTCCCACAATCTTATTTAACATGCACCACAATAAGTCCAAAAAGATCAAACTAAAAAAAAAGGGCAAGTACTAAATATTGCAAAGTTAGAAAGCAACATTCCCAGACTTACATTATGGAGATTTTTTTTATTTTCACAAGGGCTTTTCAATAGAATGTTCTCTGAGCTGCAAAACTGTTTTTGTTTAATCCATTAATATTATGTTTTTGCTTTTCCTCTTCAGTGCTGATTTTAATGACCTGCTGCACAACATGCAAAGGTTGGTTAAATTTCGATCATCACGACTTCATACACTGAAATATTACTCGTTAATATAAAACATTTGCTTTCTCCAGCAGGAAGTTATAAAATACTTTCAGAAAATAATATTTCATGAATGAAAACATGAAGTACATGTAGATCACAGCATTAGTGGTCTATAATGTTTGTTGATAGTTATTTTGGTGTTATTATTTGAGGCAAGTATCAGAGAAGCTAAGAGATGTGTTTAAGGTTTGGAGCAGAACTTTGGATCTTTGTTAAAAAAAAATAATAACAATAAAAATAATAATAAGCAGGTGTTTTTTCTTCTAGCAGCTGGTCTGACTGTGAGTCCCAGCAGATCTCAGTTCTTTGTGAGACAGTCTGTGTCTCTGAGCTGTGAGGAGAACAGCAGCTCTGGTAATTCTACTATATGGAGGAACACAACTGAAGGAAACAACACGTGTGGAGATGAATGGGGGGAACCAGCTGGTTCTACCTGTAAGATCACCTACCTCTTCCTTGAAGACAGTGGAGTTTACTGGTGTTGGTCCAGAGAGGGAGCAGCCAGCAGCAGCATCCAGCTCACTGTCACTGGTAAGATCAGACTGTGGAGTTAGTGTTGATGAAGCTGTGTGGAAATGGATGAAATGCTGTAGTTTGTCTCTGTGTTGAGGTGGATCAGTGATCCTGCAGAGTCCTGTCCTCCCTGTGATGGAGGGAGATGACGTCACTCTGAGCTGTCTAACAAAGACCACTCCCTCCAACCTCCCAGCTGCTTTCTATAAAGATGGCTCCCTCATCAGGACTGAGCCCAAAGGTCACATGACCCTCCACCATGTGACCAGCTCTGATGAAGGCCTCTACAGGTGTAACATCAGGGGTCATGGAGAGTCTCCATCCAGCAGGATCTCTGTTGAAGGTCAGGAGCTTCTCTCTCTGCTTCAACCTTCATAATGAGACAAGAACTAAATAATTACCTTTGGATCATTTTAGGGAAACCAACCCCCTCTTCTCCTCCTCCTCCTCCACCTTCATCCTCCTCTCTTCCTGCTGCCCATCCTCTCCCTACTACCATAGCAGTCCCTGCTATGTTTATCGTTTTGCTTTCACTTCTTCTGGTTCTACTGGTGAGACGATATGTTTGCAGGAAAACTGACGGTGAGTCACAATATCAGCAGGAAATTCTGAACAAGTCTATAGTGTGTTCATTTTACATATTCTGCCTGTTTAAAACAGAAGAAAAATGAATCTAATGACTTTCTGATTTATTTATTTTTTTGCAGCTGAGGAGATGAAAGAAGGAGAGCAGAGCATCACCTACAGTGAGCTGACAATCCAGCAGCAGCCGCTCAGAAGCAGCAGAGGTAACATCTATGACGACTTAGAAAGACTCAGTTTTTCAAAGATTACGTATTTCCGCCCTCAGGTGCAAACATATTTGGCCATAGACATCTGCAGTAACTCCTCTGCAATACAAAGAAATAGGAGAGCTCAGGGTGCAGCTCTGGTGAACCCTGAGGAGACAGGAACTTTCGTCACAGGTGTAGTGCGGCTGACTGACAGGTCAAGTCATAGGAGGGAAGCAAACTTAGCCAGACATCAAAATTAATCGGCAGTTCAAAGACAGAGGGAGACGGTAAACTTCTGTCTGTCTTTTTCCAGGACCTGGTTTAGCTACAAGGCTTGGCTAACTGCATGTGGCGAGGCTAATGCTTTATTCTGCTTTCCCTGCCTCCTTTTTCAAATGTCGGGATGTGACCCAGCATGGATAAAGACAGCTAGGACTGATTTGAAGCACTTTTTAGAAAAAGCAAAGAAGAATGAACAATCTGGGATTCATATGGAAAATAATAAAATATAGTCTACTTTTTCTAGATGTTGATTAATTTGCATACTTGCTCTTAAATAAACACGTTTAAGAAAAAAGTTTTTATATATCAAATGAATACCCTGCGATAGACTGGTTTGACGGGTAGCGGTCGAGGCCGGGGACCCTGGCGTTCTGACCCTCGGCTGAAGAAGCTGGCTCTTGGGACATGGAATGTTGCCTCTCTGGTGGGGAAGGAGCCTGAGTTAGTGCGTGAGGTTGACAAGTTACAACTAGAAATAGTTGGAATGACCTCGACGCATGGCTCTGGCTCTGGAACCAGTATCCTTGAGAGGGCCTGGACATTCTTACACTCTGGAATTGCCCCTGGTGAGAGGCGCCGAGCAGGAGTGGGCATTCTTGTTGCCCCTCATCTTGGTGCCTGTAAGTTGGGGTTCACCCCGGTGAAGGAGAGGGTTGCCTCCCTCCGCATACTTGTGGGGGCACGGGTTCTGACTGTTGTTTGTGCTTATGCGCCAAACGGCAGTTCAGATTACCCACCCTTTTGGAGTCTTTAGAAGGGGTACTGGAGATTGCCCCTTCCGGGGACTCCCTTGTTCTTCTGGGGGACTTCAACGCTCGCATGGGCAATGACAGTGAGACCTGGGGTGGCATGGTTGGAAGGAATGGCCTACCTGACCCTAACTCGAGTTGGGTTCTGTTGTTAGACTTCTGTGCTCGTCATGGATTGTCCATAACGAACACCATGTTCAGGCATAAGGGTGTCCATATGTGCTCTTGGCACCAGGACACCCTAGAACACAGTTCAATGATCGACTTTGTTGTTGTTTCATCTGACCTGCAGCCGCATGTCTTAGACACTCGGGTGAAGAGAGGGGTCTCCAACAACCACTACCTGGTGGTGAGTTGGCTCTGATGGTGGGGAGGGACGCCGGTCAGACGTGGTAGGCCCAAACGCATTGTGAGGGTTTGCTGGGAATGTCTGGCAGAGTCCCCCGTGAGAAGGACCTTTAACTCCCATCTCTGGCAGAGCTTTAAACATATTCCGAGGGAGGTGGGGGACATTTAGTCTGAGTGGACCATGTTCCGTGCCTCTATTGTTGAGGCGGCTAGTTGGAGCTGTGGCTGCAAGGTTGTCGGTGCCATGGAGAAAGACTTCCATACAGCTTTGAAGCAATTCTGGTCCACAATCCAGCATCTCAGGAGAGGGAAGCAGTGCAGTACCAACACTGTTTTTAGTGGGGTTGGTAAACAACTTCTGATTCCTGGTTGATGGGACAGGTGTTGTGAATGAAACGGTGCCCAGCTTGAAAGAGCTCCTGTGTGTCGCTGAATGTGAGCATTGATGACTGAAAGACATCTTCTGCCTCCATTTATCTGTTTACTACAGTCTGTTGAATTCATGTTCATGTGGATTTAAAGATGTTTCAATTAGTGGAAAAAATTGCAGGGGGGAGTATAAAAAAAAGTATAATTAACCAAAACTTTTGCAACCCCCATGCAGTACCTTCACCTGTTGAAGACCTCCGCTCTGTAGCATCACTGCCTCAAACACATATCACAGCTATGGTAGCCACCGTGTGTCAAAAAGC